GTGTAGTGGCTTGCGCAATGGAACTCGATTGTGAGGCTCTGCTTATAAAAGAATGCAAAATCCCTAAAATCCCTAAGCTTGCTATGCTAATCTTTTTTGCTTAACTTCAAAAGCTCAGAATCTAATTTGACCCCCTGCCAGCGCATTCAAATAGGCGGCTTCCCGTTACTTACTGCGGTAACGCGGTTGTTGATCTCGTCCGGATTCGAAGCTATAGGGCTGAATTTCCTTTGCCAAATGATAAGAACAGAAATGTGAAATGTGGTGCTTCCTTGCAGCGACACATTTCACATTTAGATCATCATCCTCAATCCCTTGGTTGATCAGCTAAGTCTGAAAATGATAACTGATAGGCTACGCTTCTCGAGTGTCAAGCAGTGCAACAATCAATACAAATGAGAAGAACTTAATCTTGTCGAATGAGATCTCAAAACAACAAGCCTTCGAAACGTATTTAAAGCTTGAATAAAGTTTTGCCTGTATTTTCGAGGCGTAGTAGATATAAAGCTACCATATGTGTGTGCTATATCAAGTTACGACAGTGGGTATTATTATGATTATAGTTTCTGTGGAGCCTCCTGGCATTGCTACCGTCATTATGTGTAGTCAACCTACTAGAATGGTGTATACAACCAAGTCGTGGGACAAGACCTTTGCACAAAATTATTCCCTAAAAGCGCAGCGAGAGATTCTGCATCGTCTAATACGATGAAGCACATCCCTCATCATGTTTATTTTCTTTTTTTTGTTTTAAGTCATCGGTTGCAGAAATTTTGTTGGCATGTCCTGGACACACACACTTATTCGCATCAGATATACTAAGTTTAATGTTTCTTGACTTGTGTCACATATTCACAGCCATCTAAGTGTCATAATGTAGCAAAACGGAAGCGCTCGGATGCTCCCTACCGACCCAAATATATCGGAACGTCGGACCACATTGTGATCACTTAGAACAAAAACACTTCATAATATCTAATGAAAATTATATGATCAGAGCATTATATGATAAAAAATAAGTGATCATTTCGTATGCTGTGATGAGTATTACCACGCTACACATTGAGCAAGGCGATTTTCTTGTCCAGGCACTTGTCCTCTTGCTATAAATTTGACTAGTTCGCTGTAAAGCCATGTGATAGAACCTGCACCACAGCCAATTAGCCATGGGACATAGTCAACTGTGGCTGTTCCAAAGAATGACTGGATGCCTGGAACATATACAACCAACAGCACAATCACGATCTCTATTGCTCCGCCATAAATTGTAACAATATTTTTAAAAATTCCAGCTTTAAACACCGAAGTGCGTCGAGTCTTGACGACCCAGATGTGAAAAAACTGGCACACAACCAATGCAATGTACCACGATGCACAGGCTTCTGCCAATATCCGCATCTGATCTTTGGCATCAAAACACTTTGAATCGGATACACACAATAGTTCCGCTGTCTTATTCCAAAATTTGTCTGCACTCATAAATAAGTCGTTGAAGGTAATATCATGACGCCAAAATACAGCAGCGTAAGCGAGCAAACACCCTCCAGCATTGATCATACCAGCAACAATATAGGAATAGATCAAAAGAGCTTTTGAAATTAACCGATCTTTCTTAATGTCACGGGGTGGACGCTGCATAATATCATGCTCGCCTACTTCATGTGCAATTGACACTGCAGGTCCCAATTCCGTCCCAAGGTCAATACTTAAGATCTGCAATGCAGTCATTCCAGTTGGCATTCCCAATGCCAAATAAATTGCTAGCGGCAATATCTCGGGCCACAAATGTGTTAGAGTGTACGCAATAGTCTTTTTCACATTGTCAAAAATCATACGTCCTTGTTCAACACCACGCACAATGGATGAAAAATTATCATCCATTAAAATGATATCGGCAGCTTGTCGAGCAACGTCACTGCCGTTCTTACCCATTGCAACACCTACATCCGCTTGCTTTAAAGCAGGTGCATCATTCACGCCATCGCCAGTCACACCGACACATTCGCCAACCTCTTGACTCAATTTGACAATTTGAAGTTTGTGTTGGGGTGTCGTTCGAGCGAATACCACTGACTTTAAGCGCAAAATGGCTTTAAGATCATCTTTTGAAAGTGCATTGACATAGCCACCGTGAACAACTGCGCCAGTGTACGTTTCGAAATCTGCGGGAAGCTTAACAGAAATGCTAGTGGAAGGGGGATCCACCAGTTCTAATATGCGTGCTGTCTCGTCAAGGAGTCCAACTTCTGACGCGATTGCTCGTCCAGTTAAAGGATGATCACCAGTGACCATAAATACTTTAATCCCAGCAGCTTTACACTTGGCAATGGCATCGGGTACATCATCCCGTGGTGGATCCATAATAGCTGCAATACCAACGAAGCATAACTTTTCAGAAGGAAAATTACCCTCTTCAGCCGTAAAATGAGTATCAATCGGGGCAACAAATCGCCGTACAGCCAAAGCGATAACACGTCGTCCCTTTCTACCGAATGATTCATAAGCATGTGAAAATTCAGTCTTCAGTATCTCATCCAATGGAATTTCCTCGCCTGAAGCAGATAATAATGAACTACATCGATTGATAATCACTTCAGGAGCGCCTTTCATATACACATCAAAACTGCGTTGGGTGGTCTTTTCATTTGGAGCAGGGACAATCACAAGCTGCCACTTGTTTGTCGAATTAAAAGGTATTTCAAAAAGCAAAGGGTATTCCTCTCGTGTGATGTCTGCCGAGAAATTTAAATCCGCAAACCGAAGCAATGCGATATCGGAAGGATTACCCGTATACTGACGAGTTGTTGTTAAAGTCCGTTGCTTCCGTATCATCGACGGGCTTCGTATTTTTGGTGAAGTGGGCGTCGGTGATTCACTTTTCATTTCAGTTCCAGAATCCAAAGACTCGTCGATTATTATGTGAATGCTTGCCGGTTGACTAAGATCTGGAGCTGCACGATTACATAACGCAGCCCCACGTGTCAAGATTGCTTTAGGTGTCATGCCTGTTAAGAAATCTGTCGTTGTATCCGGAACAATCTCAGTGCATTGTTCTGACGGTTGGGCAATAAACTCGCGTCCAGTCCAAATATCCGTGACAGTCATGACATTCTTCGTGAGTGTCCCCGTCTTGTCTGTGGCAATAAGTGAAATTGAGCCTAATGTCTCCACACAATCCAGACGCTTAACAAACACATTCTTTGAAGCGAGTCGACTAGCAGTAATGGTTAATAACGACGTCACTGTGACGTGTAATCCCTGAGGTACGTTAGCAACTAAAATGACCAAAAACCCGTCAACGAACGTGATCAAGATATCTTTCCCATCAGTGTGAATGACACCGAGAATAAATAAAATACTAGCCATAACAAGAGCTAAAACAGCGATAAAGCGCACGAAACCCTTGACTTCACGTTGCATATTTGTTTCAGAAAGAGTTGCTGAGGTTGTCAGCTTAGCAATCTGTCCAAGAACCGTCTTGTCGCCAATTGTTAAAACTAAACCTAATGCAGCCCCATCAAAGCATAGTGAGCCATTAAATGCAATATTTTTGCACTCCAAATGAGCGACAGAATGATCCTGAACGTCTGATGTCAAAGTGATTAACTCAGACTCGCCGGTAAGAGAGGAATTTTCGACTTTGAGATTATTGCACTGCAGGATTCTGATATCGGCAGGAACTTTGTCTCCATTACGGACCCACACTAAGTCTCCCACAACTAGCTCTTCAGCTGGAATCATTTGGCTAACACCATCACGTACTACGGTGCTTTGAGCTGGAAGCATATTCTTAAACGAATCCATTGCCTTACCAGTCGACCGTTCTTGTAAGAAAGTCGCAGTACAAGTACCAAGCACCACGGCGAATAAAAGAATTGCTAGATAAAGGTTCATTTCGGCTGATGTGTTGATAAAAAAAGCAATCAGACTAAGTATTGCAGCTGTCGAAAGAAGAATCATAAACATGTTGAGAAATTGCTGAAAGAACAGAATGTAGTCCGGAATAGTCTTTGGTGGTGACAAACGGTTATACCCACATACTTTTCGGACTTCTCCGACCGCAATTTCGGTCAGTCCTTGACTTTGTTCGAGATTAGATGGTGAGATGCGACTTCGAACCTCACGAGTAGATAAATCTTCTAGTTTCGTATAGGCTTGCCAATACCGCTCACCTTCACTTCGAATTAGATCTAAAGCAGATGATCCACGAGGACCACGAGATGGTCTCCACGCAATCCCGAGCTTGGCTTGCAATGGGTCTGCAAAAGACGGTCTAGCTATCATGGGCCTTTCGGTTAGAAATTTACTGTTCAAGATCAAATGAGTAAAGCTGGAGTCTTTTGGGAAGTGAGTGATATCGTGTGGAAAGAGAAACCACTCAGTTGAAATGACTAGTAAAGCAGAGATACTGAATCTGCCATCATGACTTAAAATATCGCTGATGTCGGCTGGTTTTGAAAGGCGAAACAGTGTCCTAAGAGTTTCAAGGTAAGAAATTGACGTGCGATGTGTATTGTTGATATTTATAGTCAGTATTTTTAACTTCATGATAATTATAGACTAGTTTTTCTTAACAGAGGCACTAACAAATTACTCAGAGATTTAGTCCCATCAGGAAGTTTGAGTTTACAATAGTTAAGAGAAATATTAACTAGATTCTCACAATTAGAGTATCCTAAAACACTCAAGCGATAGTCGATGGGCACAGTGACGCACGCA